ATAAAATTTTAACACAAATTTCTTATTTATATATTTATTAAGAGTTTTTTAATAAAAGAAAACATAATTAGACAAGTATTATTAATATAGAATATTATTTATTAATTGATCTAAAAAGAGGTTTTAAAAGAGTTTCTATAAAATTCTAACACAAATTACCTATTTATCTATTTATTATAAGTTTTTTAATAAAATGAAATCTAATTAGACAAGCATTATTAAGATAAAATATTATTTATTGATTAATATAAAAAGAGGTTTGTAAAGAGTTTTTATAAAGCTCTAACACAAATTACCTATTTATCTATTTATTATGAGTTTTTTAATAAAAAAAAATCTAATTAGAGAAGAATTATTAATATAAAAAATTATTTATTAATTAATATAAAAATTATTTTTTAAAGAGTTTTTATTAAACTGTAACACAAATTACCTATTTATTTATTTATTATAAATAGATTTTCAGAAAATAAATTAATTTCTATAAAACTCTACCACAAATCATCTATTTTATTTTATTTAAAACTCTATCACATATAACTTGTTTTTATCTATTTATTAAGAGTTTTTTAATAAAGAAAATCTGATTAGAGAACGATATATTTAAAGAAAATGAAATATTTTTTTAAAAGAGTTTATATAAAACTCTATTACAAATTACCAATTTATGCATTTATTATGAGTTTTTTTAATAAAATATAATATAACTAGACAAGAATTATTAATATAAAAAATATTTAATAATTGATATAAAAAGTAAAATAATTTTTCTAAAACTCTACCACAAATTATCTTTTGTTATGAGTTTTTTAATAAAAAAAAAAATCTAATTTGAAAAAGGATATATATATTTAAAGAAAATAAATAATTTATATAAAATTCTACCACAAATTACCTATTTTATTTGCAATGAAACTCTATCACATTAGAAAATGATATATTTAAAGAGTTTTTATAAAACTCTAACACAAATTACCAAAACTTTAGCACAAATTAACTATTTTATTTTCTTTAAAACTCTATCACATATAACTTGTATTTATCTATTTATTATGAATTTTCTAATAAAAGAAAATCTAATTAAATAAGGATATATTTAAAGAAAATAAAACAATTTCTATAACTCTATCACATTAGAGAATAATATATTTGTGGAAAATATATAATAATATAATAATACATATAAATAAAATATAAATGTTAAAGAATTTGAACATTTCAGTATTTATTTTTTAATATAAAAAATATTTATTAATTAATTTAAAAAGAGAACTCTATCACATATAAGTATATAACCTTGTATTTATCTATCTATTATGAGTTTTTTAATAAAGGAAAATTTAATTTTACAAAGATATATCTAAATAAATTAAAATAATTTCTATAAAAGTCTACCACAAATTACCTATTTAAAGAAAATAAAATATAACTTAGAGTCTTCCAAAAATCACAAACTCCATATAATAAATTTTTATATCAATTTCAATCTAATGTATCATTAGTGTAATTGAATTTCCATTTTAAAATTTAATTAAAAATTAATATAATTGAATTTCCATTGTAAATTACAAATTATACTAAATTTCAAATTACCTAATAAAATTCAAATTACAAATTACTTAATAAAATTCAAATTACCTAAAAGAATTTGTTACTTTGCAAAACTCAAATATTTCACTATTAAAATAAAAAAAATATTAATTAATAAAAAATAAAATATACATATTTCAGTATTAATATAAAAACGTAAAAGAATTTATTAATTTATGAAACCTAAACTGTATCACCAATTTCAAAATATTTCAGTATTTATTTTTTAATATAAAATAAATATTTATTAATCAATATAAAAAGAGTTACAAAAAATTGTAATTTATTTGTAACGTTTATTGTTACAAGCTTTAAATCAACAATTAGAAGAAAAAAAAATGAAAACAAAAATTTTATAAGTTACAAAACATTTACTACGTGCATCGTACATGTTTTTTCCTAGTATATATATATATATATATATATATATATATATATATATATATACACACTAGTAAAATGGTACGTGTGTTGCACGTGAATAAAATCTATTTTAAATTAATATTCAACAAAGTAATTAAATATTTATTATCTTATATAGTAATTAATTTTACTTGGAAATTTATTTTTTCATTTGAAACATCTTGATTGAATTTCAATTAAACATATTATTTTAACTATAAATGATTTGAAACATCTTAATTGAATTTCAATTAAGCAATTGGTAACTTATTTTATTATTTGGTAAATTATTTTATTATATAATCTGTAAATGATTTGAAACATCTTGATTGGATTTTAATTAACATAATAGGATTTATTTTAATTGGTAATTTATATGATTTATTTTAATTGGTAATTTATTTTATTATTTAGTAAATTATTTTATTATTTTATCTATAAATGATTTGAAACATCTCGATTGAATTTCAATTAAACAATTACCTATTTAATTTTACAGTAATTGATAATCCGAATCAGCAATTGATCGATGGACCCAAAACCTCGAGTTGACTACCATAAATATCTAACGACCAATCAATGGGATCGGGGCCTCGATCTGAATAGTCGATCGATGGACCTAGAGCCTCGATCCAACTCCAAAGCCATGAACGATCGATCGATGGGGCTCGAGCCTAATCTGAAACCAAATCCAACAGTCGATCGATGGGGCTCGAGCCTAATCTGAAACCAAATCCAACAGTCGATCGATGGGCCTCAAGCCTGATCTGAATCCAAATCCAACAGTCGATCGATAGACCTGGAGTCTCGATCCAACTCAAAAGCCATAAACAATTAATTGATGGACTTAGAGCCTCGATCCGACTCAACACCATACAAACTATAAGCAACCGATTGATGAGCCCAAAACCTGTGATCCAATAGCAGGCCTTGGCATCGAATACGTTTTCCAACCAATGTAGCCGGTCTATTGAAGTCTGCTTAGACATCAAGCGACCCCTAGCCCAGCAGATAACAGTGAAGAGTAATGGTAGGACTCTCTAAAGCCACTTAGGATGCTCAAGGAATCTTGGATTAATTGGAGGATGGAAGACCAGCTTCGAGTCTTGCAATAGCAAACCCAACTCGGAGAAAAGTGAAAGGAAACCTGAAGCAGAAACAGAGACACTTGGAATCACCATTAATGCCAATCTACCACCCTATAAGAAGCCAAATCACATTTAATGAAGGCCACGCCTGATTATGGTTGTACAGGCACAAAAAGTGTGAAGAAAGTATGCAAACCTAACAATAGGTCTGAAAAGGCTAGATATAGGACACCATAACAAATAAAGGGTCATGGGTCTTTATTCCATTTTCCCGCTTAACCAGCGGGTAAACACCTCAATACTCGAGGCTAAAAAAAGAGGGTGGAGGGAAGCATTGAAGGCAGAATTCAAAGATCATGAAGACTCTATAGTTGGTCTGTTAAGGTTTCACGGACGGTTTTCCCTCTACCATTACTTCGGTCCTTAATGTTGGGACTGATCTTCTCTCCCGGGACTTATAGAAACCATGTCTGCTTGTCTCAAAAAAAGGAAACTATGGATCTACGTGGAATGTGTTATGATATTATTTTTTTGATATTAGTCTTCAGATTTGAACCTTTGAAACGGTTGATATTGATTTGAAATAATTCATAACATATTGAATTTTTTTGGCCCAAACTCATATCACTAAATTGTGATATTATGTGTTTTGATACTATAGCGAATAAACTAAAACAAATTTTTGAATTTTGCAAAACATATTTTCATTACTAAATATATAATTTCAATTTTTTGCAAATTACTCCTACAACAAAGCAACTGTATAAAACATATCGCATGTTAAGTGAGCCATATGTTGCTTATTTCGAAAGCAGCTACTTCAAGCATGGTTTGCGGAACCAGTCGGTTCGCATCAAATTTCATGCCTGTCGATATCGCGTTGGCCCAGTATATTTAGGTCAGATCACAACATATACACCCATAAGTAATCAATCCAGCAGCAGCAACAACAATTAATCAACAAATAACTAATTAAACATGCTTCATCAAATTATAAACAAAACCCCAACCTATATGAACAATGGTTTTCCAATTAAATTTTCCCAAGTTCCATGCTCATAGTAACATATATATATAGAGAGACCGATATTAGAAGATAACAAAGAAACCTAAAAGATATTATATGAAGCGTGGGCAGTCATCTCCATGTTCCATGTAATTGTGGTGTTTCGCAGTGAACAGATGGAGAGAGAGAAAAGGGTCTCACAGTGACTGAAGAACTAAAGATGAACATGACCAGTCACCTACCACCACTCTCCGGTGGTCTATTATGTATTATCACTTTAAAAATAGAAAAGAAAATAAATATTCAGTTTGAGTTCTATGGAAGTGGACCTTTTCAATGACTATTAGAAGAAAAAGATGATGACTATTATTTTTTGTTTTAGGTTAAAAAATAAAACATAGTAACAAATAAGATTAAAACTTAGAAGATAAACTCATATTTAAGTACCAATAACCACATTAAGAGTATAGCATAAAGAATCAGTGCAATTGCCAATAGTAATAGAAATTAAATCTAACACATACAATTTGTGATATGGGAAAAGGCTGTGCTTAATTGGCCTGTTTGTTTTTGGGGTAGTAATATTACTCATTCACAGATGGTGGAGTTTGTTCTGCTCAATTTATACCTATCGGTGGTATATTCTCGGTTAAGGAAGGTATTCCTACTTGTCGAATTTGATATTTACTGAATTTAATTCATGTGAGAGAAGTGGTAATTTTATCCATAAACTGTGATATCATATGATATGGTGAATTCCAATGACCACACTGTATAAATCAAATATTGTAACTATCAAATTAAGTTCCTAATTCATTATTAGGGTAATAAAACTATATTACATTACATACAAAAAACAAAAAAATAAAAACAACAATAATGAAAAAAACATAACTTTTTTTTTTTTTTTTAATTCAAACACCCATGATGGGTGATATGAGGCTCTCCACATAACCTCCTACTCTTAAAAACGTGTATGCACTTGCATCTTGAATTCCTGGAAGTATTAAATCCCTACTCGTACTCTCTCTCATGTTCCATAAAACAAACTTGCCTGAATCTATCTCAAACAATAGTTCATCATTCTTCAATAACTCATCACTCCTCTGCAAAACCAAATCCTTGGTATTCAAATATGGAGTTTCAATCACAACTTTAGTCCAAGATTTTGTCACGCCATATTCCTCCATCACCCAAAAACTATTACGAGGACTCAGCACACAAAGACATCCTCTAAACACCCCTAATTCGATTGGAAACTTCCCGACAGGCACAGGACTCTTCCAGAATTTCTCGTCCGCCAAACTGAAGCCAACGATCACTAATAGCTTCGGCTGCTCTGGATCAATACAGACCCAATGGATGGCTCCGTTCAGAGATGTCCCAATAGGTTCGTAGTAATCGTGAGGAAAACCTGACTGAGCCTTCTTCCAAGAATTGGTTTTGAGTGAATATATGTGTACGTTGTCTTTGTCTGCTTTCAACAGTTTGTAATCATCATCGATGTGATCATAGCCAAATCCATGTATATCATAAGTTATCCAATCACAGAAATCGAACTCTGGCACTTTCTTGGAGACTCTTGTCGAAGGATTTACTATGTATAAGCCACGGAAACTATTTATCTTCTGATACATTATGCATAGCAACCCATTACACGAACCAATTATTTTCAACCACACACCACAAAGCTCTGTATCCTCTGTATCCAAAATATCAGTAATCATCAGTGCTTCAATATCATTAATGGTGGTTGCCTTGGTTGGTTCTAGATTTATGGAATGGAGACGATTACCAAGCAGAGGGGAAATAGTTAGTAGTCTCCGGTGTCTTTGGGCGTTGACGTGTGTTTCGATGAAGTGGGGGTCGGAGATGAAAGAGCGCCATGACTGTGACGCGCACCTAAACCTTAACAAAGACTTGACGGACAGTTTTAAGAGTATTTCAAAAACGACATGGTCCGGAAGGTACTTGCATGTCTCACGATTTGGTTTCAATTCCATGGCCTTCCAAATTTTTCTTCTACTCGTCTTCGCGTTAATTTGTGGTTCCTACCACAATCTCTCTTGTTTCAATATCCACTTGAGCCCAAAGTTTTTTAAACCAGCTATTTCCTAATGAAATAGGTATGTGTACTTTCCTTTCCTGAAGTCCTATATTTTTTTTTGGATTTCTTTTTATACGATATATAAAAGAGTTATAATGGAATGAGGATTAGGTAATCTAAAATTTTTGTAAAACTTATGTGATATTAAAATTTTGGATTAATTTTACTAATACTCGCTTAGGTTTGGTCAAAAATATCTTTCTAAAAATAGTATCACTCACACCCCAAATCACTTGTTAGTTACTAACACTATTAAAATGAGTGTAGAATGATATTTTTACCCTCATTTTTTAATGTCTACCACATCAACCTCGCTGTCACCCTCACTCACACATCCCCTCTTCTTAAGTAGAGTAATCATCATATTATATATTGCCCCTGTCCTATATTAATATTTTATTATTCTTTTTTAGGTGTCCAAATTAGTTATACCATTTGAAGTCAAAACAAAAAATATTTTATTTTTTTTATAATTACCGTTTGAGTTTTCAAAAAAATTCCTATTTGGTAACACGCACATTTAAATTTAAAGCCAGATATAATTTTATGAGTAATGCTATTGCGAGAGCACTCTTACAAAAAGTCTAAAAAACTCTCGCTTATAAGCCACATGATTCCTTTTTTAGGGACTTGGGAGAGAGGATTAATTAACAAATAATCATTTGTAATAAGGAAACAAATAATCTTTTTTTCTCTCCTCTCTATGTTCTCTCTTTCTCTCTCTTGGTTAAGACCCTTAACCAATCTATGTCTTTCTCTCTCTTGGTTAACCCAATCTTGAAAGATTTGATATTACAACATTTTTCATAACTTATTCAATTGTTAAGTATTTCAAACTTTAAGAACTAAATGAAAAGGTAAAGAATCCAAACCCTTTTATAAAAATCAGATTGGAAGAGTTATGAAACTGTTCTTCAGTTTTGTTTGTAGGGAAAGCAACAACTCTACTCTAGTTCAACCATATGGTGAGGAATAAGAGCATCGGTTCTTTATTTCTCATGGCCATATTAGGTGCCCCGCCCTTGAGCTTGAACTGTTGTTTGTTGGAAGCTTTATAATCATGACGTACCTAAAGTATGCATTATAAATACACTTAATAGTCTCAAGTTCATTACAGTGATGAGACTGGCAAAGAAATAATGGCCAAAATCAAGCCTTTAAGCTTTACAATATCAAATCTTTCAAGAATGGGATAAAGGCTGTAATGTGGCCATGAGAAATAACCAAGAATGGTTGAGGGTTAACCAAGGATGGGTTAACCAAGAGAGAGAAAGACACAAATTGGTTAAGGGTGTTAACTAAGAGAGAAAAAGAGAGAACGTGGAGAGAATTCAGAGAAAAGAGAGAGAAAAAAAATGATTATGTGTTTCCTTATTACAAAGGATTCTTTCTTACTTAATTCTCTCTCTCAAATACTTAAAAAAGGAATCGTGTCGTGATAAGTGGGAGCTCTTTAAACTTTTTGCGAGCTAGAGCCCTCTCGCAATAACATTACTCTAAATTAAAAAAAAAAACAAAAAAAACAAAAACAATATTAAAAGAGGACAGCTAATATGAGTGCATCATAAATACCTGTGTTGTGCTCACAAGCTAATTAAGAATCCTTATAAAATCAATTCATCGAAAGAGGTCCGCTCTCAAGTGCAGCACGTTTGAGAGTAAATTCACACAAAATCAGCAAATTCAATTTTTGTAATTCGCGAATTTATTTTTCTAATTCGCGATTTCCATACAAGTAAATTTGTTAGAATCATAGTGATATGGAATATCTATATTACTATATAAGCATTTATTACTTACACTATTACTCAATATATATATTAATTACTTAAATTTCACCAATATATACTATCATATATATATATATATATATATATATATATATATATATTAATTATACATATTTGAAAATATATTACTAAAAAACTTCCCAATTGGAGAATATGAAAAATAAATCAGGCATCTATTAGTGAGAAAAGTTAGCTTATTTATTACATATATCATTAATGGAATGAATAATAATGGATATATTTGCATATAGATTTAAATAAATAAAAATATAAAATATATATGCCATGACCTAATACAATTTTATAAAATATATATGTCACTCGCTTTTGCTCCCGCTCTCGCACTCGCTTCCTCTCTATGTGACTTAGGATCATATGCCATTATGTAGAATCAAAAACTTACAAGAAATAAATTCTTGATTTTGGTTTTAATAATTTAAACATAATTTCAAAACAAAAGGGAGGGGATATTTGCACACCACTTCTCTACACTTACACTACATTCTTAAAGGAAATGAAACTTCTATCCCTAATTTTATAAATAAATAATTTTTTTTAGAATACCACAATTACCCTTTCAATTATGGAAAGATATTTTCGTCTCGCCCTCTCTCCCCAATTAACGTTTCTATCTTCTTCATTCAATTTAGGCATTGTAAAATTATCAATTAAAAAAAAAAAAAAAAGAAGTAGAAGACTTATAATAGCAACCTAAATGACAGAAAAAAAAATAAGTTGCACTTAATAAAATGCATAAGATATGTGAAAGAAATATATGTTACACTCATTGCCATTGAATTGGAGTGGTGACCAACAGGCCAAATGGCCTAGCAGTATTAGGCCCATACTTCCCAAAGGGAGGTCAGGAGTTGGAGTCTCTCATGGAGACATGGTTGTATAAGTACCAATTAAAAATAAAATAAAAAATAAAAATAAAAAGAATTGGAGTGGTGTGTCAACATCTTTTTTTTTTTTTCATTTTCCTCTCTTATTAGTCTCCTCCACACATGCACAATGTTTTACTATCTTATTTGGTCAATAATTTTCACCATTTTGTCACTGAATTTAGCACTAATCCATCATTCTAATAATTTTAGTTGTGTAAATTCTCTTCTCATGAAATTAAGGAAGTTGCTCAGAGTGCTTTAGTACTCATCAAGCCTTAGAGGATCTCAACAAGGCCTTACTTCACCCGACCCTCACTGATATCAAGAGGAAACAACTTAGGTGGAGGACGAGGTTGAAAGGCTTCCGATGTCCATCTTCAAAGAAAGCTTGGAGACTCTCTTCTTACCTTTGGTTGTTTAAAACTGGGCCACTAAAGTTCAAGAATGTCCTTTGGAGATACATTTTTTTTTCCAATTTCCACTTCATATTCTGCTCTTTCCACATAGGCTGCGTTATTTAAAGAATAAGTAATATGATGTGGAAATTGAAAGAAAAAAAAAAAATTGGAAGTCAGAAAATATTTGAAAACAAAACCCTAATTGTAATGTGGATGTGTATTTGAGAGCAAAATAATAATAATAATAAAAATAAAAAATTGCTTTAGACCATCTCCAAGGAAATCATATCATCTTCTTCAAAAATTTAATTAAAAATAATAAGGGAGGAAAAGAAAGCTTGTGTTGCCTGCAAAATTGGGTAGAGAGTGGCGAGAGAGAGGCTTGTAATGGAATTCTGTTGGTTTTAGGCTCTTTAAAAAACAAATAAATAAAAATTAGTCAATTAAGTATAATTTACTTTTAAAAAAAAAAAAGCATTAAAAGTAAGTAAAGAAAATAAAAAATGAAAGTTTATAGTGCAAAGCATAGTTAGGGTATAACGAAATAAGAGATGATGCATTAATGAGTTTAGGGGTTTTTTGGTAATTTACTTTAAAGAAAAAAGAAAAATGCAGTGTAAGTATAGAAAAGTGGAGTGCGAATATCCCTCCCAAACAAAAAAGCAAATGCAAAACTTATACTTTTTTTTTTGTAATCTCAATTTTAGAAAATAATTTATTCAAAAAAAAAAAAAAAAAAACAAACTGTAATCAATCAAAATTATGAACTATTTTTTTTCCATTAACATGACAATAGATAAACAACTTTAGAAAATTACCCTTCTACTTTTCTAATTTATATACATACAAACATTTTCTTGTACATCATAAATCTTAATTATTCTTTCCGTCACCAATATTGCAAATCCAAATGAAAAAAAAAAAAAAAAAAAAAAAAAAAAAAAAAAAAAAAAACCCTGTTTTCATTGTCAGATATCTCAAAAGGCAATAGAAGAGCCTTCAATTATTTTTCAAAAAAAAAAAAATCCTATTTTCATCCGCTATTAGTTGTTGGGTGTGATGGTGGTGGCGGTTATTGCAAGAGATTTTGGGGTGAGGTGTTGGTGGCAGTTATGGGATGGGGATAGGGATGGTATTGCCACTGCCGTGGTGGTGCTGCGACAGCTACCAGTTGCGACGGTGGTGGTGTAACGATATCACCCCAAGTGTGTGTGTGTGTGTGTGTGTGTGTATATAAAGTTTAGGGATAGTTACCTAATTGAAAATTTGCAAAACATTTAGGGATAGTTTAGTCTTTTAGTATATTTCTTTAGGTTAAAGTTTTTTTTTTTTACAAAGTGAAAGAGCATTTAAGTCATTGTATATGGTGTCAGATGTCTAAAAATAACAGTTGGGGTGTGAGTGAAAAAAGGAACAAATGTTTGTAGTAATTTTCGAAAGTTATTTCAAGGTGATATTTGGCCAAACCTGAAAGGATGTCAGTGAAATTAACCCTAAAAATTTTGAAAAATGGGATAAATTCAATTGACAAAGTAATCCCCCAATATAAAATCTCCCTCCCAAAACCACCGACTCCCCCACTCCTAACCACCTCTCCATCTCTCATTCTATCACTGCTCAAACTAAAAATTTAAATAAACATAATTCATATGAAAAAGACCTACTAATTCATTTTTAAAAAAAACAAAAAATTATGAAATATATTTATTGCCGAATGAAAAAGACAATTTTCAAGGCAAATTTTGTGGCGGCCAAGAATAAGCCGACCTAAACCTTTTCAAACTTGAATTCACGTGGCACACTGTCTCTATCACCCCTTTCATTTGTCAATCCTCTTTTTCATTCACTACGGTGATAATTTCATTTCGCACTCTCTACTCTCTTGATCCACCGATCCTCCATCTCCCAATATATCACCCGAATTTCATCTCTCTCTGTCCAAAATCAGATTTTGTTGTGAGGTTTATCTTTATACTTTTCCCCACTCTCTGCCCTAATTTCATCTCACACGAATTATCAGCATGACTATATCCACTGAGATTGTCTCTTTACATAGTGATAAGGAGTCTTCACCCAGGAAGTTTGATCGTCACACAAGTCTATAAATCAAAATAAACTCTAGTATCTTGGATAAAGATAAGAATAAGGTCCCCTTCCGTGTTGTAGAAGTGATGACCATGTGGACGGGTGCGAGACACTAACAAGCTACCACACTGGGAGAGTTACGGGTACACAATCCCACATCGCTTAGGTAAAGGAAAGGTGAAGTGCTTATATGTAGGTGTGTCACTTCAATTGGTATGAGACCTTTTGAGATAAAGTATAAGAGCAAAACTGTGCGGGCTCAGGCCTAAAGCAGATAATATCATACCATGTGGTGAAGTGGATACTTACTTGGAAGTAAGAGATATAACACTCCTCTTTTAATCAACTTTGAGCAATGACTTAGACCTCGGAGACAATAGAAGAGTGGTCGAACAGAAGACTCACACATCTCTCACCTGTTTAAGGCCTTGAAAACTTGAAAATTTGAAATTGTCATCTTTCATATATTTCTCCAATATAAGAAAGAAAATTCAAAAGTTGATACAACGAAATGGACAAAAAATTTCATAAACCATTTGAATCGGTGGACCCCACAATTTTCAAATTGTTAGGCGATAACTTGATTGGCATGAGAGATGTCTTGTCTTCCTCAGCGGAAAAAAGAAAGTTGAAACATCATTCATTTATGAAATATGAACCCGGCCCCAATAGTTTCATAAAAGTTCTGCAAGTAAAAAAATTCAGTTTTAAAAAATACTATTGTCACGAACTGTTTATTTGCAGGTTGTGTCTTGCAAGCAGCATATGAGCGCTTGAGAGGATTATGATTGGTGTATGCGGAAATCTAGAGTTTTTGAGAAAATTGTTGAGGGTCAGAGAGAATTGAAAGGGTTCAAATATATATTGGAGAGTTCAGATATTTGTAGGGTGAAAGAATAATTTTTAGAGGATAAATAATTAACACGTTTAGGTAGAAAGTTTGAAAGATTAGACATAAAGGATTGGAAGCCTATTTATAGTCATCTGGAAGATAGAAATATCAGAGTTAAAAACTGTTCATATATTATTACCTATATCATAGTACCAACATTTATTAATTCGCCTGTTCATGGATGGTGGAGTTTTTGTTTTGCTCAATTTATATTCTATTTCTTCTACTCAATTTATACTTATCGAAGTAATTCGATATTTATTGAATTCAATCTAGTGAGAGAAATGGAGATCTTGTATATAAACTGTGATATCATATGGTGAATTCAATCACCACATTGGTATAAATCAAATACTGTAATTATCAAATTAGGTCCCTAATTCATTATTAGGGTAATAAAACTACATTACATTTTACATACCATAAATAAAAAAAAAAAATTTTAAAAAAAACAATAATAATAATGGAAAAACAACTTGATTTTTGTTCAAACACCCATAATGGGTGATACTAGACTCTCCACATAACCTCCTACTCTTAAAAACTTGTATCTATTTGCATCTTGAATTCCTGGAAGTATTAAATCCCGACTGGTCCTCTCTCTTGTGTTCCATAAAACAAACTTGCCGAAATCTGTGGCAAACAATAGTTCATCATTCTTCAATAATTCATCACTCCTCGGCAAAACCAAATTCTCTGTATTAAAAGATGGAGTTTCAATCACAACTTTAGTCCAAGATTGGGTCTCGCCATATTCCTCCATCACCCAAAAGTCACCATTATTACGACTCAGCACACAAAGACATCCTCTAAACACCCCTAATTCGAATGGAGACCTGGGAAACCCGATTGGCACAGGACTCTTCCAGAATTTCTCGTCCGCCAAACTGAAACCAACGATCACTAATGGCGGCTGCTGCTGCTCTAGGTCAATACAAAGCCAATGGATGGCTCCGTTCAGAGTTGTCCCAAGAAGTGTCCCAATAGGTTCGTAGTAATCGCGAGGAAAACATGACTGAGCCTTCTTCCAAGAATTGGTTTTGAGTGAATATATGTGTACGTTGTCTTTGTGTGCTTTCAACAGTTTGTAATCATCAACGGTGTGATCATAGCCAAATCCATATGTTTCAGAAGTCATCCAATACCAGAAATCGAACTTTGGCACTTTCTTGGAGACTCTTGTCGATGGATTAACTATATATAAGCGACGGAAACTGAAACTCTTGTCATACAGTATGCATACCAACCCATTACAAGAACCAATTATTTTCAACCACTCATCACCACAAGGCTCGATATCCAAAATATCAGTAATCTTCAGTTCTTCAATATCATTAATGGTGGTTGCCTTGGTTGGTTCTAGGTTTATGGAATGGAGACTATAACCAAGCTGCAGAGGGGAAATAGTTAGTAGTCGCCGGTGGCTTTGGACGTTGACGTGTGTTTTGATGAAGTTGGGGTCGGAGATGCAAGAGCGCCATGACTTTGACACGCACCGGATCCTTAACAAAGACTTGACGGACAGTTTTAAGAATATTAAAAAAACGACATTGTCCGGAAGAAGGTATGACAGCCCTCCTCCGCATTTCTCGCGATTTGCTTTCAATTCCATGGCCTTCTACTCGCCTCTCGTTATGTTTTTCAATATTCACTTGAGCCAAAGTTTTTAAAGCAACCATTTCCTAATGAAATAGGTATGTGTGTAGTTTCCTTTGCTGAGGTCCTAATTTTTTGTGGATTACCATCTTTATAATGGATTGACGGATTAGGTAATGGAAAATTTTTGTAAAATAATTTTTCGATTTCTTTCCTTAATACATAATTTAAATAGGGGTAATTTGCACTCACACTCCTTCAGGTTTGTTATAAAAACATGTAGATACAATTTAGGGAGAGTGTGATCCAATTGCCCCCTCTTTGCAAGCTTGAACAACACCCCTAACCATAATAAGAGTACATAATTACCCTTTGACTTTTGAATTGACCCATTTAAATTATGACAGTACAATATTAATCTTTTATAAGTCCTTTTATTTCACTAAAATGACCCTTGACAAAAATAAATAAATAAAATTGTTTATGATAATGTTTTACATAAAAATTAAAGTTGGCCCCCTCAAATTTTTTGTAACACTATTTATGGTACTAAATCATAGATATTCACATAGATACATAAATATTATTTGATATGAATTAGAAAGAAAAAAAAATAAAAATTATTTACCTGACAACAACAATGATTCAATCGACAACTTTTCTCTCCAATTTTATTGTATATTATTTATAGACACATTTTAACAATATACATTAAACTTGCACAAAAAAAATTTCTTACAATGATTTTATGTTATTTTAAAATTTTAATTTCACATTACTAGTTTGGCCCCATCAATTAAAAATTCCTAAGTCCACCCCTGTATTTATGCATATGGCATTGGCAGCCACAATGGTGGAGTTGAATTTTTTTTTTTTTTTTCCTTTTTTGCTAAGGGTCATTTTGGTCAAATAAAAGGACCTATAAAGGTTAATATTGTACTTTAATAATTTAAATGGGTCAATTCAAAAGTTAAAGGGCAATTAGATACTCTTATCATGATTGGAGTGTTGTTCAAGTTTACAAACTTGTGGAGGCAATTGAATCACACTGTCCCTAACTTGTATCTACTTGTCCTTATTGGAAACTTGAGGGGTGTAAATGCAAATTACCCTTTAAATGGTGTTGAACACACTCTAAAGCGGAAACATTGCTTCTACTTCGGCAGGGGCAAAGCCAATTAAGGACTAGGGGGCACGTGCCCCTGCCCTTGCTCCAACCTACTATACATAGGTACATATTTTTGCTATATACATACACTTATATAGTAATTTTAAATAGTATCCTCCCTAAAATTTTCAAATTCCACTAATTTCCTTTTGAAAAAAAAAAAAAAAAAAGGTACACCATAAATTTTTCTTTTTCTAATTTTTGTTTCTTTTTTCACTTGTGTATAATTATGTATTGTACCATTTTTTCCTCTTCTTTCTTTTTTATCGATGACATTTGTGATTTTATTTAATTAAAATATTATTGATCAATATTTTGATTATTATATTTGTTAAGTATATTTTTTTGTAGTACTTATTTAGCATATTATTTTATAATTACTTTTTTTCTTATGCCTTTTGATTTTAAAAAAAAAAAATTATATTTGTCATACTTGTTGATTTTTTTTTTTTTTTCCTCAATAAGTGCATTATGCCCCCCCTAAAATAAAATCCTGACTGTTCCCCTGTACTTCGGATCAAATTCAAAGTATAAAGTAACTGTGGTTGCCAAACATGTCAATATTTGGCTTTTTTACTTTACTTTTTCCACTCTCCACATGGTAGATGTTGACGCCACCTTATTATAGACTGCAGGTGCAGCCCTGGTTGGGATGATTTTTTAAAACTAACTTCATTAGTAAGATAAAATACAAGTGTTGATTCCTTCAGGCTTCATCTCTATTTAAGTTATTTTATCTCCGTAACAAATCAAATATTTGATTAAGTTGGCAAAATGTTACATATTGGATTATACAGATGTATTAGTATGATAAAATACATGTGTTGATCAGGCTTCATCTATATTTAAGTTATTTTATCTCCTTAACAAATCAAATATTGATTAAGTTGGCAAAATGTTACCTGTTGGATTATACAGATGTATTGTAGAAGAACACATATCCCATCACCATAACAATAAAGAATTACACTATTGACGTTAGATTACATAGTGGTGTTGTGGTGTGAATTGCGTTGTGGTATAGTACCTATACCAAAATGATTTACACGGTTGAATGGTTGGAAAGTTGAAAAACGACGTCACCTCGAACCGTTTCAAGTAACTTGAACCGGTTCAAGTTGGCTAGACTTGAATTTTTCGAAATCCTTCAAAAGTTGAACTAGTTCAAGTTAGGCAAAGTGAAAATTTTCTCTAAAAGTCTAATTTTGAACTCCCCAAATGTCCTCACATACTCACATAACTTATTAAGGCGTTGTTCCCATCATCACGGAGTGTATCGAAGCATGAGCACCATCGCTTATTCAATTCCGCTTTCGATCTTGAGTCTTGGCAAAGCCAACAAAATTCTACAACTCGGTCGGACTCATTTCGACAACAAAATTTACCAAAATACAAATTTACATTTTACTGTTCAAAAATCTGTGTCCAAATTTTTAAATTTTGTTAAGCTCTTCTTAGACAGCTTAGTTAAAATCTATATATCTAGTTGCACCAATGAAAAAAAAAAAAAAAAAAAAAAAAAAAAAAAAAAAAAAATTCTCATGATTGCTGGTGAAATTCATGTCAAGGTTACCACGAAAAACAAATTTGCATATGAAAAAATTTAATCCACCAATTTTCTATATGAAGTTAAAGGACATTATCTAGTAGAGCACTTACTTTTCCGAGCGAATGTATTCGTATTCGAGTTTTTCACCCAACTTGTCAAGAAAAAAATGTTATAAAAAAAAAAAAAAAAAGAGAAAAAGATGAAACAAATAAACACAATTAGATATAGAAAAAATGTAAGCAATTTAGAATAAAGCATACGTTATGTACAGTGCACTTTGAGCATCCACAAACCAATATACTCATTCCTTCCTCCAGTTCTCTTCGACCTTTTTCTTCTACTCTGTTTTTCCAATTACAAGGAAGAGCAAAATAAAAGCTTAGAGAGGGAATAATATTTTCAGTTTTTCGTAGCCTAGTTGTATCTTCTGTTCCCCCTTTTTAATAGAAATGGCGGTTCGAATCCGCAGAGACAAATAAAAATACTTGTGAGTTTCTTGTTAATAAAATAATAAAAATAATAATAAAGTTTTTCTAATTAAAAGAAAGATATAGAGTTCTCGAGAGGAGAAATATAAATTATGTGTGCATAAATATAAATTGGAGTTAAATGTTTAGAGATTTTTTCAGTTTCTATAATTAAAAGAAAGATATTGAATTATGAAGAAGAGAGATATATATTTATATGTGTGCATATATATAAATTTGAGTTAAAAGTTTGGAGAGAGATTTTCAGTTTCTCTCGTTAGGAGGACATAAAATTATTAACAATAAAGAGAGAGTAATAAGGTGCATAAATATAAACAATATTTTGTTATGGAGTGTGTTTAATAATGATTAAAAATATATTTGGTAGCTTAAATTTTGTTGCAAACTTTTTAGAAGCAAAAAGATAAAAACATGTTTGGTAAAAAAAAAAAAAAAAAAAAAAATATTGGAAAAAAAATATTGGAAGACTGAGAAACAAAATGGCTAATTAAAAATGCCAAGTGGAGTTTTTTTTGTTTTGTCTTTTGTTTTTCTTTATTTTTTTGGTACTGTTTTTGCTACCGTGCTAAAACATTTTGGCATGTTTGGCAACGTTTCCGTTTTATGTTTCTGCTTTCATACGAAACAACACTTTTGATGTGAAACATTTTCAATAGGAATTGAAAGCATTTTTGGTAGCGTAATATTCGTTGCAAGATTTTGGAAGATATAAAAATATGTTTAGTAAAAAGTGTTACAAGATAGAAAAATAAATAGCTAAAAAAGGCCATTTAGATTTTTTTTTTATTTTTATTTTTTTATTGTTCACCGTTTTTGCTACAATGCGAAAACATTAAGAAACACCAATATAGTGCTTCCGATTTAGGCGTCTTTTCTGCAACCATCACGGTACTATTCAAATCGTAACAAAACTTACCAAATGTGTTTTGATGTTTTTCTTTGTTACAATACAACCCACAACAGAAAATACAAAATAAAAGTGGTTGCCAAATAGACCCTTAGGAAACACGAATTTGGTGGTTTGAGAATTGGGCCTCTTAGTAACAACAAACACGGTTCTATTCAAATCGCAACAAAAGTTGCCAAATGTATTTCAATGTTTTGATTTGCTACAATATACTACTCAAAAACACGATACTATTCAAATCGCAACAAAAGTTGCCAAATGCATTTCAATGTTTTGATTTGCTACAATACATTATTCAAAAACACAAAACAAAAACGGTTGTCAAACTGGCCTTGAAGTCCTGTCCTGGCAACCACTTTTGCTCATGTTTTTTGTTGTATTGTAGCAAAGCAAAGCAGGAAAACTTATTTGGTAACTGTTATTGTGATTTGAATATTAAAAGTGACCCTGCAAACACATTGCAACAATAATGTAGAGATGATGAACAAAAACCCAAAAATTAAAATTAAAAAAAACTCTTAAATGACCCTTTTAAATTAGCCATTTTATTTTTAAAACTTGAAACACTATTTTACCAAACATATTTTCATGTTTTAACTTCCAAAAATCTTAACGTTTGGCCAAATATGATCCCAATAAAAAATGTTACTTTTGTTTATGATGAAAATAATAACCCAAAACGTTTAAAAGGCCCTAAGATTTTCCATGCTTATTTATAGAATTGGAGTCTACTTTATAAAAAAGATGGTACAATAATTACCTACACTTTGAAAAGTAAAGTAGCATATATACTATTCGTCCTATTAACGCCTGGTTCGATGCTTAAATTTCTCAGACATTTGTAGACTGAATATTTTCACAACAATTTTAACGTTATATTATATATATACATACATATATATATATATATATATATATATATTTAACCATATTTTTTATATTTAAAATCTCACCCAATCACTATGAATTTACGATGATTGAAGGCAGTGCTATTTCTCTCCCCACGTTTCTCCCCCTCCAGAAAGTTTAATGCTCTCCCCGCGTTTCTCCCCACTCTAGAAAGTTTAATACTTCATTTGGATAGAGGAATGGAAAAATAAGTAAATGAAGAATCATTAGAGAAGGAAATATGTCAACCCCAATTTCTTGTTTGGTTGAATAAAAATGATACTGTTGGAAGGAAGGGAAAGAAAAATTTAATATATTTTTTTACGAATACACCCTCGCTATATAAAAAAATAAAAGGTAAATATTCTTTTGAATTTTTTTGAAAAGGTTAAAATTAAAAATTATAGAAGTGTAGGTAGTTATTCAGTTTCTCTCTCCTCTCTTGCCCTCCAAAATTGGGCACACCGAAAAACAAGAAGAAATGAGGAATGCTTCCTCCCTATCTTCCCTTCCCTCTAACCAAACATATCTTCCCTTCCCTCTAACCAAACATAAGGAGAGAATAACCCAGTGCGCAAATAAGTCTCATAAATAGGCGTTATGGGTTAAAATGTGAGTGTTCATTTGGTCTCGTGTTTTTGTATATGTAATTAGAAACTTCGAATTAAAGAACACCAGCAGAATAAACCTGTAAATGCCCAAAGTAGTTGACAGCGTTCCAAGAGAAAATAATAATAAAATGATAATAATACTAATAAAAAAGAGAAATCTCGAGAATTCAGACCCATCAAATTTGATATGCTAACACATTTCTTAAAACAACTTAAAATTCAATCAAATAAGTAGCCAAAACACTCGATAATAATAAATAAATAAATAATCACCCTAAGTTACACATCATGACAAGGTGATGAAGATCATGACAAGATTGGAGGTATACACATTGGCCTTCGCTGCCAACCCACTCGCTTCTCAGCCCACCAAAGCCATAACCATCACATTTCTCATGCTCTAATGTAGTTGTATAAGCAAGCTTTGAAAGATAGTTCTGAACAAAGGATTTTTAAGCATCCCTAAAGAGGGCAATCAGACAGCCAATCTAGCTTAACATGACAGCAGCGAAAGCTTAAAAGAGTTCCTAGATATACACCAATCTGAGCGGACCTGAGTCAGTCAAGGCCGAGCTCGTACAACCCGAGAAAAAAAAATGGACAGACACAGATGTTGAATGTTTAATTAGATGAATTAGGCCTACAAAAAAACCCATCCATCCAAGGTCAGAGACATGACACTCAAATTTAGAATCCAAACGAGTGTTTCTAATTGATCTGTTGTTGGGCATGTCAATGGTATATAATACACTCTTAAATAGACGAGAGAAATAGATACTGTCTACTCTAAAGTGGACTACATCTTCCCTGCTTTAGGACTACAACCACTTGTATTGCAACCATAACTTTACAAGCATGCACCGACCTTATCTTCAAAAAACATCTAACACAGAAACCTCCAACCCAGCCACAAGTAAATACTGATCCAACTTCCCCCATCCTCACACCGACGAAACAGAGACAGACAGACATAAAAAAATAATAATAAAAATAAAAAATAACCACTAGGGTGCAACTCAGGTAGGTTGGGACCGTTGGGTGGGCTGAGAAGTCAACCCTAGCTCAACCCACACTACGGGCATTCCCAAGCCAGGGATCAACCCGACCGTGGGTTAGGGAGACTAGCCCAAGCATGACCATACTCGGGTTGGTCATGTTGGTTGATCGTCGAGTTGGGTCTCAAATCCAATCAAATTGCAATAATTTGTCACAACAATAGTAGGTTGGCAGACGAAGAAAGTAGCTGAGAAGACAGAAACCTGGTGGTTTGCTAGAGTTTTTTGAATTTGTGATAGATAAGGATATTATATATTAATTCGGGGGGAAAAAAAAAAAAGAAAAAAGTAGCCAACATCCAAAGGATACCATAACTACCTGTGAGCCACAAGAGTGTAATGCCAACACTTGCTAGTTCAAAGCAAGAAAACCAGATGCATGGAGTGTTAGCTACTCTCCAGATTACATATATGATCATATAAATATAGCCTTCATTTCTGACAAGGACGCCTAAGATCAGCCAATTTCTTCAGTATTTCCCAAGAAGAATTTGAATCTATGTTACATGAATTTAAATCAAATGAGATGGTGAAAAGAAAATTTTATCTAATCTCATAAGTGGAAAACCCATTTATAACATCAAATTTGAGCATTTTCTTCTTCTTACCTTATCACATGTAAAGGATCAAGGTATCCGATATGAATTTGTGCGTGAGACATATCCCATACCAATACCTTGTTCATTAGATTTGTCTGTTGGACACATATTCCATACCCATACTCATGTCTCGTCAACACAAATGCATTTGAGAAGAACAGGAAAGTCCATGTAACACATATCATAACAGGAGAATCCATGTAACGCATCATAACAATGTTCAAACACATGACGTGTAATATAATTAACAGGTCAATCCTATTTTCTCAAATTTTAAGTACATTAGGCACTAACACCGATGTTACAACTTCTTCTACAATACAAATTACAACAAGACTAAAGTTCCACACCTATAACCATCATCTATCACCATCCGCCCTTGCCCCTCATCAATTGTTGACGGTAAGAAGAGAATTTTGTCGTTGAGTACCAGGCATGGGTACCAAAAAGACTTCAAGATTTTCACTTTGAGACATAAAAAGGAAAACTATGAACCTAATCTTAACATTAACATATATCAGTCAATAGCATGAATGGAAAATTTTACACCAAAACTGTAAGGCATACACATAGATAGGTGGAATTGCAATGATGAAAGTCCAAACATGATGCAATTAAAATCATAAATCAACGTAATGCAATTCAACCTCGAGAAAAAAGACAGACAGGGGAAGGGAGCAATAACTGCAAATACATTAAAAGGAAATGCAACTTATGATAAATCAAAATTGCAACTCAACCTCTGAAAGATATAACTAGAAGGCCAAAAAACGAAATCAAAGATCTAGTGTAGCAACTAGCAAGCTGAAACACAGATACCAAACCAAGCATCCAGGCACAGACCTGTATAATGTTCCATGGGGGCAATTGTCACCACTGAATATTCTTTTTTCTTTTTATTTTTTTAGTATTATACACTAGTAATTTTTTCTTCTTTTGAATTATATACCATGAAATTTTAATATTGCCCCCAATGAAATTGAAAAAAAAAAAAACCCACACTTGCAGCAACAAACATTGACAGCTACAGCCATGATCTCATGTGCTGTAACAGTATGCATTTGGTATCAGCTTAAAGCTATATTCACAAGTGCATGTACTAAAATGTCTCAGAATATGCTGCAAGAAATGTTAAACCCCCCAAAATCCAGTCAATAGATGAAGAGAAATCTAACCAAAACATCAGACATATAAGAATGTCACGTATCTGTCACCATGTCCATCCTCATGGTAACAATGTCCAGCCATGCATAGCGGGTTTCCAATTAGAACGGGCTAACTGTACAACCGGTCCTGCAGTTAACTGCACAGCTACGGGTAAAGCCCATGTGAACTTCAACCATCTTTTAGGTCATCACAGCTACTAAGACTCCTTTCTGGGGCCAAAATTTTTAGTCAGCAAAAAATAAAGATGGACGGGCAAGCCAAAACTCAGAATCCCAATGTGACTTCAATAATGTTAGTTTTTTTAAACCCTTACCAATAATGACATCAAAGAAAATTTGTAAAAGACACTGTAATTTGCAACCAGCAAGAAAATGATATCAACCAACAGCGAAGTAAAGACAGCACCAACAGCAACTACATCATCTCACCAGTCAGCCAAACTTACTCTTCCCAGACGCAACTACAGAAGGCCAGTACATGGTCCATCATAAGCCAAAAAAAATTCAGTTATCTTAGTTAATATTAATCGACATGCATGCCTTAAAACATAGAAGATGATGGGATAAGAGAACCAAATAATTAGAACTCAAATGGAAACAAGAATCTATGCAATGGCAGGCTAGAATAAACCACAAAGACTACTTGCACGCATTAGGCAACCCAGAACCAAAGTGCAGAAAACTCCTTCAAAACTATCTTTAGGGATGTCACAAGTACAATGACAGAATGGTTAACCTTAAAATACGCCTGAAGCAATCAATTCTAGCATTCAGTATATTGATAGAGACATTATAAATCTGAAAATGCTCTCATCAGAAGGTACACTGCCAAACATAGGCCATATATCCATCACATAAACTGGGGCTCCCTTACTCCTGTAAAACAAAAATCCCCATACCAAATTAATCAATGAATTTATCCATCACAGGAACTGGAGCTAGCTCCCTTATTCCTGTAAAACAAATATCCCAAAACCAAATTTATCAATGAATTTTTTTGATCCAATCAATCATAAGAACAAGGTTAGAGACTCACATCAGCATCAGAATTTTGTGGAGATGGGCTCCATGAATCAGCAGGCCGATCACGAGGTGACATACTGGCTGGAGTAGGGGACCGTTCTTCATGATCACGTCCACCATAACTTCCACCCCTAGGAGGGTTCCTGCGTGGAGATGGGCTCCTCTTAGGACTGGGGGTACGCCGAGCAGGGGAAGCACTAGAATATATACCCCATACAGCATTTTAAAAAAAAATAAAAAATAAAAAAAACGAGTTATAAAGGAGACATTCAATGTCAAAAAGATTTGAAGAGAGAGAAAAGAGATTGATACCTTCCATAAGACCGACTCCCACTACGCCTTTCATCATCATATCTGCCTTTTCTGTGGTCTTTCCGGTAATCAAGACTTCCACTGCGGCTCCTGCTTCGATGACGATAATCTCTTTCCCTTCCCCTATACCGGTCACGATCATATCTACCCCTACTTCTACTGCGACTTCTCCTCCTGTAATCCCTGTCCCGATATTCATCCCTATACCTAAAATTGCTTCCAAAAGGAAAGCCAATGTGAAATTAAATATATAGTTATTACGTATAAGAATTAATTCCTAAATGTTTTAATAAGGAAAGCAAATTAGAAAAAGATATTCAACATTAAATTATAGAAGACATGAAATTAATGTGATAGAACAAATAGCGGTTTAAGTACATTCGTAAACCTGTAGACCACTCAATAATTTAGCATAGAACAAGAAAGAAAGAATTTCAACAAAATTTTCTCTTTATACGAAAACATATAGAACTAGATAGTTTCCAATTTAGTAGGATGCCAGAAACATCTATATAGATTCCTACCCTAATGGTAAAACTGAAAACAAATAAATAAGCCCGCCACACATGCCAAGGAGGGTAAAATGTTACCAATTGTAAGATCTCATTAGAACATAAAATTATATTCTTAAATAAAATAATGGTAGAGTAAAAGAATAAAGTTTGCAACCCTAGTTGGTAATACGCATATCGTATGCCTATTATCCGCGTACGAACGCATTTTATAAATAAAAGTGCATTTACAGTCCAACGGGCAATGATACAGAAAAAATCGCAATTTTTTATGCTAGGCATACAAACCTCTACTATTCGGCTGCCATACAAGAAACCACCGTCCAATATGGCGCCCCAAATTCAAACCCTTCTAATTTCCAATTCTAAATTATGTGTTTTAGACGCATTTGGGATTACTTTTCAACCGCTTAAAAGTACTTTCATTTTAAAAAAATGCATTTAGATGTATTTGGTAACCATTAAAAGCGCTTTTAATAGTTACTAATTCCAGCTCAATAGAGCTTTTGAATGAAGCCAGAATTGGAGCGTTTAAAACTACGTTGTGAGTAGAGGTTAAATATTTTAGGTAACTCTATTTCCTTAGCCAATTTTGTCCTTTTTATTTTTTATAAACATAGTTACACTCCTTGCTTTATAAAGTTGCTATTGTCAAATATGGTAACATCCTATGAAAGGATATAATTGTAAAATTAGCAATAAAAGCATTTTAAAAAATATTGCTACCAAACAAATTAAAAAATAATTTAATTGTGAAAGGTAGTTATTATAATGTGTCACCAAACACCTAGCATGCATGTTACTAACAGCTCTACCGACAAAAGCGCTTTTTTATTCTAACAACAATCCCAAACAAGCTCTTAATCATACAAGAAAACCACTTATATGCTAATCCTCTCGCCACATTGTCCAACTGCATATATGTATATACATAGGAATCTGTGAATATACGTATATTATAGTTCTTGCAAGACTAAGAACATCGTTTACTTTTGAGAGATTTGAATGTGTGTAAGCAATATATTGCTACCCAGATCTTTAGACAAGGGATGGTATATTACTATAAATATATAAAACTTCTCTTTCTAGTGTGAACTTAGTAACGGATTGGGAGATTGGGATTTGGTAAGCCAATGTTTAACAAAATATTTATATGAAATTTATGTACATTATACATATGTACAGAACAGGCAATTTTTACCTAATGTTAAAAGATTTAATAACACAATTGTTAGTCTTTTTGCAGATTCAATCATTTACTTGGAGTTTTAAAGGGACTAGATGTTAAATTAAATGAAAAGCAATAGAATTAGTGGCACAGAGACTAAATTTCTGCATGCCTACATGCAAATATGTTCTCTCTACTAGACTTAATTTCTAAAAAAATGGTTTCAAATTCATTTCCAATCAAAAGATGTACAAAAGAGGCCTGGAAACTATTTTCTAGAAAGAATACTTACCTTGGCCGAGGACTGTGGCTCCTTGACCTTCCTCTTGACTTTGACACTTTCTCAACTATCCTCCCGCTTTGACTGAATATCAAAACCACATAACTCGGTCAACAACTCCAACTAAAGAAAACAATACTGGAGAGTGAAAGTGAAGTGAAGGAAAGGAAAATAAATTTTCTAGGATTCATTTGTTTAGCATGAAAAAAATTCAACAAAATTGTAGGAAAATCTCATTTCCTAATTTGGATAGCATGAAAGTAATAAAAAATATTATGATTTACCTATATTGTCCATCTATGTGAGATTTGACCTCATCTAAGGGAGTGTCAAATGTAATATACCCATTTTTTTTTTTTTTTTTTTGTAAGAAAATTTTGTGGGAAAGTTAGGTGATTATGAAAAGTTACTTTACCACAAAATTTTCCAATTCATGCTATCCAAATTCTTATAAAGTTTTAAAAAATTCCGATTCTTTTCCTATTTCCATCTATCCAAACCAAACTAAGCCGGAGTGCTTCTACATTAAAATGATTACAGCCACATTGTTCAACCCAATTGCAAAACAGCTAAACCCATGATTTGGAGAATAGTAATCAACGGCATATGCATTATTAAGAGGCACAGAGTTGAGAACAATGACTCACATTCGTTCGGCATTCGGTCCGTACTTTGCGAATTGAACCATTATCTCTCTGCCATCAACAGTTCGTCCTGTCAAAATAACACAAACACAACCAACATTAACTTCTAATCATTGTGTGTGTGTGTTTTGGGAGATAATACTAGAAGCTTATTGACTACCATCAAGCTTTTCCACCGCCTTCCGGGCTTCGTCCGCATACTTATACCGAACAAATGCAAAGCCTCGCGATTCACCAGTTCTGAAGCAGAATATATATATATATATATATATATATATATATATATATATATATATATATATATTGTCAGATCAATAACATGACCCCATCATAAATAAAAAATTTGAATATGTGTGTGTATGTAGATATGTGTGTGTGTATGCACAAGTATGTATGGAGAAGATGGACCTTCGGTCTCTGGGGATGAAGACATCGACGACCTTCCCATACTTGTCGAAAAGGGGAAACAAATCATCCGCTGAGGTTCCTGATCAACGAACAAAAACAAAAATAAATAAACTTAAAAATAAGTGAAAGCAATAACAAGTTGAAATGGATAGGATGGAAAATTGGTGGGGAAGAGGAGGGTATTTACGGAAAGTAATGTTGAGGACGAGGAGAGAGTAGGTGTCTCTGATGTCCGGAGGACCTGATCTTCCAAAGTGCGACATCTTTCTGCGTGCGACTGATGGCCGTCTAGGGTTTGTGTTAGGGTCGGTGGCCCGACTCTACGTCGAAGACGAATAAAAGGGCTGGCCTTTTGACAGATTTACCCTTGGTTCGTCGCTAAATTACAATATATGCCTAGGTTCTTGACTTCACAAATGTTGAGTTCCTAAAATCAAAGTTAGCCTGCAGGCACCAAAAGCGACCATGGTGAGAATCCGAATCCCAAAAAATAAATAGGTGTGTGTTTCTTATTAATAATAAATAAATTTAATAATATTTTAATTTTTATTTCATAAATTGATGAAAAAAAAAATCAAATTGATAATATCAATCAATATTTTAGTTGATTCCACTCAATTATATCTCATTATATTCAATCGAGCTTTATGTACAAATTATTTCCATGTGGATGCATTTCTTGGTTTTGTTTCAACATTGTAATGGTAGAATGGATGAGAAAGAGAAATCAATTTTTAGTCACTATATATTTTATTGAATATTGTATTAAGTATTAAATTTAAGAAAGTAAAATAAGAAATTCTCTATTTTTCTAATATATATGGTCCAAATTAAGTAGCACTGTTGGGCTACTTAATTAGGTCCAAATTACCAAGAACTGGTATGGGTCTGTGGCCCAAATCAACTAGGGAATTGGGATAGTTTTGTTTAATTCTACATATTTACATGGTTGGTTATGGTGGTGTGAATTAAGAGACCAATTGCATATTTATCTGTCCTAATTCAACACCTGGGCTTCATTTGTTTCGGCATATGATATCTTCCTTAAAAAAAAAAAAATTTTTTTAGGAAAATATATATATATTTGATGTACAGTAAAAGTCTAGGTTGAGTTCTATTTTTTCTTGCAGCATATAAAATAATTTGCTGAAAATTGATGGATAAATTATTTTTATTAAGTTTTAAAGTTTTTCTTCTTACGACAACCAAATCCTAAAAAATTAAAAAATATATATTTTTGAAAAAAAAAAAATTTTACATCCAAATAAACTGAATCTTAATTTTGAATAGATTGATGTTATTTTTAAGAGCATCAAACTAGTGACTTGGGATTTGAAAAAGTTTAATTCAAAATTTGTGTTAAAATTTCTCCAATCTCAAATTTAATGTGCCAATTCAGTGATGTCAAACATAGCATAACTGTTATTTCAACTAATTGCCTTTTACAATACATTATATTAAAATTTTAATTGCTACCAAAAAATGCGATAAAATTTTAACTGGTAGTAATTTCACGTATTATTGAATGTTAAACACTTAAAAAAAATTTAAAAATAATTTATAATTATTGCTTAAAATTAAGGTCTTGAAATTTTCAGTATTTACTTTTCAATTTAATTTATCAGACAACTCCAATTTCAAACCAATTCATGTACAAATGTTATGCAACTTGGTGCTATTGCAATCATTCTTGTTGATGCCATACGTCACATAGGTTCAATTATAACCAAAAAAATTTCCGTATTGGTGACCTTTGGTCACAAGACTCACAACATGTTGGCTTTTTATCCTTTACCTCGGAAGAAACTCATCCACATTCAAGTATATAAAACCCTAACCAATGCTTAAATATAGATTATACAATAACCATGAGAAATGAGTATAAAAAAAAATATGAATAATTATATTTTTGCCGATATTGTCACAGGCAGGGACGGAGTCAGGATTTCAAGTGAGGGGGGCACGCTGCCAAAAAAAAAAATTACAAAGTATATATATATATATATATATATATATATATATAACAAAGAAATATACTTTAAAAAGAAGAATTTCAAGAGTAGAAGTTTAAAAAAAAAAAAAAAAAAAATGAGAGAACTTTAAAAGGAAAAAGTTAAAAAGTTTTAATTGAGAAAGAAAAATAAAAAAATAAAGAGATAATTTTAGGAACCACAAAATTTAGGAGGGCATTATATAATTTTTTTCATATATATAGAAAAAATTAAAAAAATTATCACATATATTATAGAGTGCAGGCCAACTCAAGGGGGCACGTGCCCCCCCAAGCCTTCATTGGCTCCATCCCTGCTCACAGTGGTGATGACGATTAGATTAGGGGTGTATGGGGGTGTTTCTCACACGTCTGCAGCAAGGGCGAATTCAAGAATTGTTAATGGAGGGTTAATATTAAACAAGGGGTAATTGAGAATCGAAAGATTAAAGAGTTGGAAAATTTGAGAGGAAATAGGGTTATACTTTCGAGGAATAGAAAGAGTGAACTCTCTAATTTGTGCAAGATTATGAATTTAGGAATTCTCTATACTTTGGCTTAGTGATTGTTTAGGGCTTGTTTGGCTTGGGCCTATTTGGTTAGCCTTTATTTTAAAATTGTAGCTTAGATATTGAATTTGTTTAGATAGGTTAAAATTAGGGAGCTAATACTACTACTAATTTTTTCTTTTTTAAAATATTGGGCTAAATATACCTATACTTATATTTGGGGGGGGGGGGGGGGGGGGGGTTGTTCGGGGGACTCAAGCTCACCCTTGGATCCGCCACTCAAGCTCACCCTTGGATCCGCCACTGATTGGCAGGCCTAATCATGTTGTTCGGGGGACTCAAGCTCACCCTTGGATCCGCCACTGGGCGGCAGGCCTAATCATGTTGGTTTTTTATCCCTTACCTAGGAAGAAACTCATCCACACACTCAGATATATAAAACCCTGACCAATGCTTAAATATAGAATATAAAAGAACATGAGAAACGAGTATAAAAAAAATATGAATAATTATATTTTTATTGACATTGTCACAATGGCGGCGACGATTAGATTAGGGGTGTGTAGGGGTGTTTCTCACACATAGGCTTAATCATGTTGGCTTTTTATCCTTTACCTAGGAAGAAACTCATCCACACATTCAAATATATAAAACCCTAACCAATGCTTAAATATAGATTATATAAGAAACATGAGAAACGAGTATAAAAAAAATATGAATAATTATGTTTTTGCGGATATTGTCACAGCTGCGACGACGATTAGATTAGGGGCATGTGGGGGTGTTTCTCACACGTCGGCAGGCCTAATCATGTTGGCTTTTTATCCTTTACCTAGGAAGAAACTCATCCACACATTCAAATATATAAAACCCTAACCTATGCTTAAATATAGATTATATAAGAAACATGAGAAACGTGTATAAAAAATATGAATAGTTATATTTTTGCCGACATTGTCACAGCGGTGAGGATGATTATATTAAGGGTGTGTGGAGTTGTCTCTCACACGTCGGCAGGCCTATTCGTGGTTCAAAAAAATATATAACCCCAGGACCTTAGAAGACAAGGTTAGTGATGAGATGAGTAGCCCTAATGATGGTCCAAGAACTAGCAATGGAAAATCATTCTCTCTGTAGGGGACATTTACATTTAACAAGAATGGGAAAGCTAAAACGACTCTCAACCGAACTAATAATATATATCACAAGTTAGTTGGCTGGTGGCAGCCAAATGCAACCGTGCAATACCTAACTTCCTTCAACCCCATTTCCAAGCTTTTAGCTCATTGCTTCTTAACCTGTTTTATAATACATTAAAGAAAGGTGCACATAAAAAAATAAAATTAAAATTATTTTTTTAAAAAAATTATTTATTGTGGCCTCTTTTAGCCGAGTACGTCAACATGATCCTTCTTAATCAGGAATATAGACAAATTTGTTCTCGATTAAGATGGATCATATTCCAACCAGTTAAAATTGATTGAAATATATTGACACCTCAATGGTGGTGTACCTTTTAAATGTCATCTTGATTCACATTGAATAAAATGAGTCAACAAAACACTCAAATATGTCTGTATATATATATATATATATATATCACAGTAATGGCTGCATTTCTTTCTTGTACCATATTGAGTAGTTATGAACCAAGAGTTAATGAGCAACAAAACCCTCAAATAATAAATATGACTCTAATATATATATCACAGTAGTGGTTGAATTTATTGTACTACATACATAGTTATGAATCAAGAGTTAATGAGCAAAGCACTTTAGGTTTGTCATAAATACAGTGATCCGATTTTCTTATTTATAAGATTATTGCAACAAAAGTTGACCACATGTTTTTTTATATATAAGCATACCATATGTTTCATGCGAAATAATAATTGAATGGAAAAATTAAGATAAAATATTTTGTTCAAATCCAGCCGTCGGATTCAATACTCTTAAACATAACATATCAAAAATACATATAACAAGTGGAAATAGTCACTTATTTCTCAATTAGAAATATATGATTACGAAGGAGGGAGTGGCAGCTCTTTTTTTTTTTCACAAGACTTAAGAAATGAAACAAAATGAGAGCTAGGGTTTCCTCATATGTGTGTGTGTATATATAATTAACCTATTTTAGTAATATATCATAATATGTTCAAGTAATTTAATAAATTTATACTATATTCAGGACGGAGTAAGATAGGGCAACCCTCCCCCGAAACCACGCCTATTTTTTTAAAGCAGCCTTCAACCCCGTGCCCATCTACATAATCGATTCCCCAAAATCATCTCCACCCGGAGTGGGGTGGGACAGGGGCCCGCCGAGGTGGGGACTTTTGTCATCCCTATCAAGGGCTTAGCTCAAGCGGTATTTTTTCATCTTTTAACGGATAAAGTTTAGAGTTCGAATCTCTATAGTATTTTTTTTTTTTTTTTCATAAAGCAAAATCATTAATTGATAGATGACTCGAATACATCCAAGAGCCAGTTCGGCCAAGTGTCCCACTGCACATCAATTGTCTTTTGACTAAGATACCGTTTGGGATTGAAAAATGTTTTTATCAGTAGAGATGTCAAAAAATTACAGTCAGTAAAAAGCATGTTAGGTGTTTATAAACATATTATAATAAGTACTTTTCATAATTAAACTATTTTTTAATTTATTTTGTAACAATATTTTTTAAAACATTTCTATTGCTAATTTTACAATAATATCTTTTAATAGGATGTTATCATATTTTTTTTAAAAAAAAAAATATTAAAGAATAAGTGTAATTATCTTCATAAAAAATTAAAAGGACTTATTTGACTATTTAAAAAAAGTTACCTATAATATTCAAAAGCTCTAAA